CTGGCTGGAGATGCCTGAAGACCATACCTGGACCTGGCGCACCTGGCCTTAAGGGGACCCATCCCCCTATCCCTCCTTCCCCTGGAGCCTGTTTCCAGGGGCTTTCAGGCAGCTGACCCCCTCACCCTGAAGTGGCTTTCCCCTCCCTTCTCCCCCAGGCAAGGGAAGCTGGTCCCTAAGGTGAGCTGACATCCCGCTGCTCCTTTCTGACTCTGTTTTCACTTTGTTCCCCTCTCTGTCACAGTGTTTCGTAGGCCGAGTCTTCGTTATCTACAGGACCCGGGCAGGGCAGTTTGTAAGGGATCCTGCCTCCATCCCCTGCTAGCTTTTAACCTTAGGCAGTGTCGTTAAGGGTGCCTCCCTTCCCTCATCCCCAAAATGAGAATAATTATAGTACTTACGTCACAGGATGAAATGAGATAAAATAAGTAAAGGGCGTTAAACTATACTTGAAATAAAATATGTAATAAAACTTCCTTCTCTAGACTACAAAGGCCTTGATGTCAGAGCCCAGAGAGAGAGAGAGAGAGGACAATGCTGAGTTGATCATCCCAGGTGATATCTGTTGTTGTTTTTTTCTTTTCATATAACTGGCAAGAAATCTGTCCCAACTCCTATTTTCTGCATCACAACGCCCTAGGATCTGCCCTAAACTATCTTTAAAATGGTCTTTTTCTCCCCCTGAGTTGGGCATATTTCAAAATATCTGCTTCTAGCAGCCCCAGCTGGTGGCCATGAGAACTAAAAACCCAGATTACAGCTGACTTCCTTCTCACGGCATATGTTCACTCTGCCGGGAGAATTTATGCCTACTCCCCAAGCCCCAAATTTCTTTTTATTTTCCTTCCTTTCCCTCTTTTTCTCCTCCCGTTTCCTCCCCCCTCCCCCTTCTTCCTCCCCTGTCCCCTTCATGCCGCCGCTGGTCAGAGCTCCTGGAGGCGTGTATCCCCTGTGGGGACCCAAAGGCGAGTGCAACCATCATTTCACGTGAGGCAAAGTGTTGTTTCTTATGGCAGCATTTCCAAGCGTCCCTTGTACACCCAGGAGAGGTTCACAGATGTTTTATACCCACCCAGAGTGGTCCCACAGTTCAATAAGCTCATAGGCACTGTCGCTGTCCCTGTCCGAGAGGTCAAAGGAATTTGCAGCTCCCCCCAAACTGAGTTGATCGGGCCTCTGTCCCTACCTGGTGCACACCCGGCACTCACTGAACTTGACTGTGACAGGCTTCACTGTTGCTTTGTCTTTGACTTTGGGTTATTGTTTCTTTTCATACAAAAGTTTAAAACACTGGTGCCGTTATGTTTTTCTGTTATAAAAAGCCTTTCCCTATTTCAAACTCATAAAGATATTCCCTTTGTATTTTCTTATAAAACATTTTTGTCACATTCAGGTCCACCGGTGATTTGTTTATGTGTGTGCCAATCCAATTGTCTCATTTCCCCCAATGATCGGCAATGCAAGTAGTATCGCAGACTAAATTTCTACACGTGTGGGGCGGTCTATGGATGAGTTAGGAGTATGTTCAGTTGTTTCAACAAGACAAAAGTGTCTTTTTTCTCATGTTACCCAGACAGGCAGTCTAGGTGATGTGACATTCTACACACACCTTCTATGCTGCTTTGCTTTCAAAGGCCTTGACCTCGTGGTCCCATATGATGACTTTTGCATTCCAAGCAGCAGAAGGAAATGAAGGTGATAAAGACAAAATGAGCAAACACTCTCAAATGGTTCCAGAAGCTGCCACGTGGCATGTCTGCCTACATCCTATTGGCCAGAGCTGGGAAATGGGGTCTTTATTCTAGCCATCCTGTGTACAGCTGAAAATTCCATAAGATGTCAGGAGAGTCAACACTGAGAGATAGCAGCAGCCTCAGCCAAATCTGTTTCTAGATTATTTATCCTGTTCCAATGAGATGCCTGAAAATTTTTTTTCTAATATTTAATGTTTTGGTTTATTCATTGGAAAATTAAAATATTAAAATGACAAGCAAGAAAATAATGAGCTATATACCACCTTTCAGAATCATCTACAGAAATGACCATTCTATTTTTTAAAAAATCATCCCAGAAAGCTTTCTATGTTTATTTGCATATTGGAGGAAAGGTCATAGAGATATTTTTATAAGAATTGGACCATGATACATAGGCTCTTTCAATAAAAAGTATTAAATTTTACTTGAATTTAAAAGAAGTTGAAGTGAAGCTGAAGGAAGTGTTGAACTTCAAATAATGTGTCTTGACCACAAGAGAGATTACTTCCTAAAAGGTACCTTTGAGGTTAAACAGAAATTGTGAAAAACATTAAAAGATTGGAGTCATTTTTTAATTACACATTTCAATTATGTGTGTGTATTATTAGCTCCCATGATTCTTCCCATCTTTTCCATCTCTCTCGACCCGGCCTCCTGACTTTTGTTACTTATACTATTATCTATATTATCCAGGTTAATGATAATCATTTTATGTTCTGTAAAGACATAATTGCATAGTTATGCAATTGCATGGTGGTAATGAAAAAAATGGAATAAGCATTACTAAGAGAGTCACTTAAAACTGATTCTGGCCTGGCTGAGCATGGCTCAGCGGTTGAGCATCCACCTAGGATCCAGGAGATCGAGGTTCGATTCCCGGTCAGGGCACATGCCCAGGTTGTGGGCTCGCTCCCCAGTCGGGGGTGAGCATGAGACAGCCAATCAAGGACTCTCTCATCATTGATGTTTCTATCTCTCTCTCCCCCTCTCTCTTCCTCTCTCTGAAATCAATAAAGATATATTTGAAAAACAGAAACAAAACTGATTCAGGCCCTGGCCGGTGTGGCTCAGTTGGTTGGAATGTCATCTCATACACCAAAAGGTGGGGGTTCCATTCCCAGTCAGCACATACCCAGTTTGCAGATTCGATGTTTCTCTCCCCCTTCCTCCTCCCTCCCTGCCTCCCTCTCGCTCACTCTCTTTCTCTCTCTCTCTCTCTGGAAACCAATGTCCTCCAGTAAGGATTAAAAAAAAAGAGTCAGGAAACTGTTAGGTTAGTGGGGCGCCTCAGTGGCTAAAATGTTGCTAAACTCAGCTCAAGTCTGAGTTATAAACACTCAGGAACTGCTGCATGGACATATGTGGACTTTACATACTCCTTGTAGTTTTCACCTCCCTCATTTGCATATTGGAACTAACCAATCCCTGTTAACCTAGTCAGCAACCCTCATTTGCATGAAAGACCTACCCTTTGTTGGCTTTGCCTTTAAAAACCCAGCCCCTCTTTGTTCTCTCCCCAGAGTAGTTTGGTTTGCTACCTATATCTGTGTCTCCTGAGTTACAACTTTTTTTTGTTCAAATAAATGCTTTTTATTCTTTATTACAGCCTAAATTTTTTTGGTGACCCTTAGAATTCAGTTTAGCTTTAAATGACTTCAGTGCTCTCCACTGGTCTTTTGATCAAGGCTTCTCCATTGGCAAGTTCTTTGTTTCAATTCATCTCTTAATAGACTGAATTTCATTGTTAAGCTGTTTTGTTTTTTTTTTTCAAGAGGGAGTTTGGTTGTTTAAGAATGTCTCTCTCTGTTGCCATTACACTAGGACCATCTTGGCTGGGTATAATATTCTTGGGTCTCACTTTCTTNTGCCATTACACTAGGACTATCTTGGCTGGGTATAATATTCTTGGGTCTCACTTTCTTTCTCATGAACGTGGTAGGTTTAGCTCCTTTTTCTTCTGGGAAAAAGTGTGAGGCTAGCCTGAATTTTTCCCCTCATAGGTGACTCCCCCCCCCCACTTGTATTCCTAAAGAAGTCACTCTTTTGTTTTTTTGTTTTTTTGT